CTCCAGGACAGCGATGTGCCCGATGTTCAGTCAAATCAGCCAGTGAATCAAAGTCCTGCTGACAATTATCACAGGTGTAAATTGACTCATCTTCCACGTCTTCATCATCTTCATTTCTTTCTTCCTGACTGGTCATGCTGTGCCTATCTTCCAACAGTTGTCCGTCCTTGGTATCATACTCTTGGTCTCCTCCTGAGGCTCCTGCTGATGAAGCAGAATATACCATAATGTGCGCGATTACAGTGTGGAAAGATTTAAGAAAATAAGCAAGCATTATTAATATTGATGCACACAAATTAAATAAATAATATGGTATGCTTGTGAAAAGTGTATTTCAATATTATACAAGCCAATCCTAGAACAAAAATCTACAGTTCAAGTAACAATATCCCTAGCAAATAAAATGTCAAAGTCAAGAATTATATTGTACTGAAAAATGATTACAGGTAACAAACAGAAATCTGAGATGTGGAACATTAAAAAGGTAAAGTAGTTAAACATCACTTGTAACAAAGAATAGTGTTTAAAAAATGCTTTAATTTTTTTTAATTGGATTAGTCAGTTTGGGTTCAGCTAAATCCTGGGTCATCACCCTCAAAAAGAAACATTAAACCCTACATATTTTTTAGATTAAGATCAAACAGGATAATATATTCAAATTAAATTATTTTTCTGAGAAATTACATTTAATACATCACTTTTTGGAAGCAAATGCACTATCAACAACAACAAAATTACATTTATAGAGCGACTTTCATGTCGGGAGGACGTCCCAAAATAATTTTTTGGAACTAAATAATCCCATTAAACAAAATCAGTGAATTGATCTGCTGAATGCAATCAGTGACAAAATGTCTCACAATGTGATTGTTAATCAAACCAAGAAGTCTGTATTCATACAACTATATAAGATGCAAACTACTTATGCTGTAACCTGTCTTGAAAGGAAGAATTCTAATTTCCTACAGTTTACATTATTTATAACATCATACAATTGAATGTATTTTGATGGCTCAGTTATGTTCCAAGTGCTGTGCATCTCATTCATTAATTCAATATACTAACAATAAATTACAGTCATATAAAATGTTGAAACGTATTCACTACAAGCGCAAGTAATGTTTTACGAAAAATATTCACACAAACAATCACCAAATTATATTCTGGTAAATATGGACTAAACATATTTCAGGGGTCATAGAATTTTACAGGATTATAAAGAAAAAGCTTGCTGTGTTTTAGAACAATAAGATTCAGCGGCTTTCCAACTTGTACATTGTTATCTGCTTTTGACCTCCTGGAGCTCCGACCTTTATGACCTTCTCGAGCTGTCATTTGTCTGACTTTGACAGCTGATTGTATCAAATGCCAAGAACTCCATATGTGTGAAAACTTTCAATGGGATTAATTTTCAACAGTGTCAACAAACAATAACTACGGCAAGATGTATGGAAGTTCCATCAAATTTAAATAAAACTTACAAGAATCAATTTAATTCTCCCTCACTGATCACCTCAACTGAATGACAAGAACCACACAATTTATTTTTAATTCACTATTACCTTTTTTAAAATTCTAGTACGACAATTATAATTAATTTAATTCTGATACTTTTGCAATATGCCCAGTGTCGTCTTGACTAATAGCTTACCTTCTATATTAATACTATAACACCACTAACAGCACTAAAGCAAGCCTGAAATACATCATTGAATCTGTCAATTTTTTTTAAAAGGGCAAATAATTTTCTGTGCTTCCTATCTGCACACTATGCAAAACAATTAAACAGTGTTGAATGTCCCTGAATGTACAAGACACCACTATTATTGCATATAAAGGGAATGGATGCCTGGGAGGATTCCTTGGAAAGCCTTCTCCTTCTTGGCTCACAAGCCATTACATCATTCACTTTATGAAAACAACAGGGCAACACTAACACACTATGTGGTGGCAAATGTTACACTATGGTCTTCTGGTCTCTTTCCCTCGTGAAAACAATAACCGGCCCCCTTTAAGGTATAAAGTATTGACACATCTGGTAATAGTTTGCAGCACCCAAGTACATGCCCAATAGGGAAGATTCTATGTTGAGTGTGTGCGTGCGCCCGTGTGTGTGAGGGATTGGGGGGTGGGGAGAAGTGGAGTATCTGACAAAGCTGAAGCTTCATTTGGGGCAAAATTACTCTGTACTGTTTACAGGGTCTCTATAAATAATAATAATAATAATCCTTGTATTTGATATACAGCTTTTCATGTCTTCTAGATGTCTCAAAGTGCTTCACAGAATATACTGTAAAGTGAATTGACTGTATATTTGTGGGCGAGGTTCTGTACATTCAAGGCAACAACTATTGAAGAGTTAATTTTTCACTGTTATACTATTTTCCAATGATGAAATGGGTAGCACTGTGAACGTTGGGGGATATTACAATCTGGTACAACTGGGATCAGCTGTTCTTTTCTACTTTATTAAGAGGTTAGATCATTTAAATGAGAACTCTGGCCTATTTAAAAATGACTGGTTTAATTAATTTACTCTCATCTGCAATCTTCTGCTATGCTTCCTGAACAATGTGGTACTGCGGCAATAATATATGCAGAGTCTACCATTGTATTCTTCTGCTTCACGCAGTGTCTACTGACGTATAAGTGACTGATTCCTGTGTAACAATACTATGTAAAAAGTTGCCATGGTGCGAGCTGCTATCCAGTTAACCAAGTTGCAAAATATTTACTCAACTGATAAATTATAGGACCTTATTTTGTAAATATAATTTGGACAATATCCCAAGCTGTAAAATAGCTACAAACAAACAATGGACACAATGTAATCCATCTACAACATAAAAATATAGCAATTCCTGATTGACATGTGTACAGAGCAGGTGTATGCAATGGAATAGGCATGAATCCTTCCCTATAGCCCATTATTAATTCGCAGGGATATCCATTGATACCAGTTTGTAAAGGAATATCTTGTGTTACTTTTGTAAGTCTCGGTAAACAAAAAAGTCTATAAGGTTGATCAGACAAGATTTAAACCTCCTGTGTTATGGTGGCTATGAATTATTAGGTTATTTTCACTCTTTCTTTTCATACTCTTCAATTTGACTTTCTCACAATGATTAATTTTTCAATTATTGAGATCAGGCTGATGTGCTTGAGATTATCAGGAATTAAAATATTTCTCTCATGTAGATGTTGCCTTTTAATGACTAACCATACAAATGAACATACAAGTACTAACTCTACTACCAATAAAATCCAAATCTACACATTAAACAATTTGTTTGGATAATGAGGCATGTCTGTAGTCACTGATACTTACAGTATTTTGTATAGCAAAGACATGAGCGTCTGGAGTCTAATCATACCAATAAAATTACAGCAGAACAAACTGTTAAGTAACGAGTTTGTTTTATCAGCTAAATGAAGCTATTACTGAATTTTCTATTTCCAGCCTTCATTCTGAACATCATAATTTCCTAATTTATGTAACCATGGTAATGACATGTAATACGTTTCTGATCACAGCTTGGAAAAATTGGCAATTTTTAAACTCAACAGGAAAAGAAGGCAAAGTTACAAGTGAAAATCTTGTCAGCTTAAGTAAAAGGTGCAATATTATTTCAAGTTATAAATGAAAGTATTGAACTGCTTCAATTTATATTTTAAAAAACTGTATCGCTGCTGCAAATCAGGTAATATAATAAGTTTTGTTCTCCAGCAGTTAGGTTCTAAACAATACTTCAATATATTTCAGGATTTTAATCACTAACTCAGTACTTTGTCACATTTTCACCCATGCACTTCTTTATTGTGAAAATATTAACAATCTTTGTTACATTGTAATTTCTCTCTTAATAAACAGTCAGATTGTTTTTTCCTACAATAAAAGTGAAACTCAAGAGTAGGAGATTTCGCAATTTAACAAAAATGTTTTTAGTTGAGACCACCCTGGTTAAATATCACAAGATTGGTTTGGATGAAGAAGGCCCTTCAAACCATCTGATATCAAGCTTCCAGAATACCTACAACAACTTAGTTATATAGCGCCTTTCATGTCGGAAGAAAATGCCAAGGTGCTGGACAGTTAAGGGTTTGGACCCAAGCTGGGGGTCAGAATCAAGAGGGGTGGAGGGCGGGGGTTTTGGGAGGGGGGCCGAAGGCACGGTCAAAAGGTTTTCAAGAAGGCAGGTTTTCAAGAAGGCGAGGGGGCAAGATAGAGGGATTCCAGGGCAGAGTTCCAAAGGATGAGGCAGAAAAGCTGAAGATCCAACGGCCAATGGTGGGACGGGCAGGGTGGGGGACATGGAGCAGGCCAGTGCTCACCCAACGGAAGGGAGAGGGACAGGTTGGTATGGTGTTAATAGGTCGCAGAGATAGAGAGTAGCAAGACTGTTAAGGGCTTTAAAAGTGAGGATGAAGATTTTAAACTCGATCCTTTGAAGAATGGGGATGCCAGTGGAACTCGGCAAGGATGTGGATGATCGGTTTACGGAGCTTGGTACAGAGTTTTGTTGGGCGAGTTGCAGAATTATGCATAATATTCTGAGTTCTGAGCGAGGTGGGGCCCACCTCGCTCGCTCCATTTTTGGCGGGCGGGCCTTTCGCCACTTTACCCCCACCCTCTGGAACTCCATTCCACAGTCTCTCTGCCTCGCCCCTCCCTTGCCACCTTCATGACCCATCTCAAGACCATCCTCTTCGACCGTGCTTTCGATCTTCCTACTCCCCCCCCCCCCCCCCAACCCCTAACCCCCATCTCGGGTCCATAACTCTGTCTGCCCAGCACCTTGGGACGTCCTCCCAAAGTGAAAGGCGCTATCCAAATGTAATTTTGTTGTTGTTGTTGTTTTAATATGTACCCTTGTGGAGGGAAGAGTTGGGAAGTCCAGCAAGCAGGGAGTTACAACAGCAACAACAACAAAATTACATTTATATAGCACCTTTCACGTTGAGAGAACGTCCCAAGGTGCTGGACAGTCAGTGTTTCGGATCCGAGCTGGGGGTCGGGATCGGAGAGGGTGGAGGGCGCGGGGGCGGGGGGGGGGGAAGCAGGGTGATTGAAAGCACGGTCAAGGAGGAGGGTCTTCAGGTGGGTCATGAAGGTGGCAAGGGAAGGGGAGAGGCGGAGGGACTGTGGGAGGGAGTGCCAGAAGGTGGGGGCAGAGCGGCAGAAAGCCTGTCCGCCAATGGTCGGG